GAGAGAGAGAGAGAGAGAGAGAGAGAGAGAGAGAGAGAGATTGATTGATTCACTGTGCAGTTCAGGTTGTCCATGAAGCTCCCTTTGTAGCCCAGGCTGGCCTTAAATGCAATCCTTGTGCCTCAGTCTCCCAAGTGCTGGGATTACAGGTGTGCACCACCACTGAATGACTTTTGACTACTTTTTATAAAATCACAAGGTTTCATTACAATTTAGTTAATACCACAAATACATATTGAGTACTACTTACTCTCTACCAGACATCGTTCTAGGCATGGTAAGCAAATCAAGTATATTTCTGCTCCCCTAGAGGTATATCATAAGATGTGCAGCATGCTTTCAAGTCTGTTTCACAAAAAGCTGTTCAAGGAACATTTTGGTCATTTATACATTGTTTATATGTGTGTTTGTATTCAAAAAAGAGTAACTGTATTAAGTAAATTTAGCAGTACTAAGCATTCTTAAGGAGGTGTTCATAGGTATTTTAAAGAAAGAAAACTGACAGTTTGAGGAGGTGGAAGAGTAAGAAAATAAATTTGGAGGAGCAGTCTTAGTAGGACAGGAGAAGTAGCAAATGTATACTCAGAGATAGGTATATCAGTTAAAGGTAGATGTGTCCAGTGCTCACTTTGGCAGCACATATACTAAAAATAGATGTGTCCAGCCAAGTGTGGCAGTACACACCTGTAATCCCAGCACTCAGGAGGCTGAGGCAGAAGGATCGCCATGAGTTCAAGGCCAGCCTGGGAAACATAAATGAGTTTAAGGTCAGTTTAAGACTTTGAGACCCTGTCTTAAAAAGAAAGGAAAAAATAAAAAAGGAGAAATAGATGTGTCTATGAGTGACAGTACTGGAGTGACAAAACTTTAACAGCTTAAACACAGTAAGAATTTATTTCTTCTACCAAATCCAGAGTAGGTATTCCAGCACTGAAAAGACTCTACCTTGTCAGGGGCTTCAGGGATATGTCTGTCTTGTTCCTATACCAAACTCAGCATTTAATTTTAACGTCATGATTCACCTCCACTTCATGATTCATAGCTACTTGGGCTTTAGACATCACATCTGCATATTAGCCAATAGGAAAGAGTAGGAAAGGTTGAACATGTGTGCCTCTTCCCTTGAAGGATACTTACTAGATTGCTTGTATTTGGAGTTCCCAACTCTCTGGCCACTGACCAGTACCATCCCATGGCCTATTAGAAACTGGGTTGCACAGCAAGAGATCAGCTGTGGGCCAGCAAGCTAGTGAAGCCAGTGCTGCAACTATATTTGCATTTCCACTTGAGCTCCACCTTCTGTCTAATCAGTGGCTTTAGATTCTTAGTCGAGTGAGAACCCTAGTGTGAACTGCACGTGTGGAAGATATAGGTTGTTAGCTCCTTATGAGAATGTAATAGTAATAGGAAAAAAA